AATCACGATAAGCACAGTCAAGTTCATTTTATCGTGTAGAACAGGGGATATCGACTCGTAGCGAGCGTACAATTTGGGCAATAGGCTACTATATTTCTCTATAAAATTAAAAAAATACCACATTTAGTTTGAAAATAATCAATAAATGACTAATGAATGTTTTAAAGAAAATTAATGCATCATATATGAACTTGTTCTTATGATTCATTTATTTAATTGCTTGACAACAGCCAGATAAGGCCTTAACAGTCGAGCACTGAACTACGGTACAAAATAAAATGTAATAATAATAAAAGTGAAACATTAAAATACAATAAACAAACAAACTACATATATAAATGTACAATATTAATAATTATAATAATTCAATTAATTTATTGCATAATAATCAACAAGCTGTTTGTTTCCACAAGAATGGAAAAGTCTCAGAAGATACACTAAGATTAAAAAATGTGTTAATAAAGGAATAAATATGTCAGAACCCTTAATAATAAATGAAGGAATTTCATCCAATCCAACACACTTGGAAGGTTTAAAGCGCTTAATAGCCATACAAACTTCAGAGGCAGAAATAGAAACGGTGGGTAAAAAGTCAGATGTAGTCGAAACAGGCGGAGTAACGGAAGGACAATTAGCATTAAAAACTGATTTGAAATGATTAGCAAAGGAATCTCCAATTAATTTAAAGTCAGTAATAAGCTGACTATCAACTTTAAGTTGAATAAATGAATTATCCTTCGTTTTAAAATTAGAAACATACTTCCAAAAATGTTGGGGATAAGTTTCTAAACTGTCATCAACCGTTTTTAACCACCACTGTCTATCAAAGTTTGCAAAAAAATGAAAAATAGAAATAACGAATATAAGATTTAAATATTTTTTACGAATAAAGTATTTTAAAGTACTATAAAACCAACATGGAAACTTGGACTTCCTAGAACACTTATAGCAAGATTTAAAGCTTCAGTAACAACTGAGTTGAGCTTATTAACGGCACAGTCAACAGAAGTCTGATTATAAACACAAGTCCAGTCATAGGAAAATAAAAATTTATATAACAATACATAATCACCACAGGCATAATTACGAAAAGAACGTGGAGGTTGCGAATAAGAAGAAAAATATATACTAAGATCAATAATCAAGGAAGGATGGAAGTTATCAGGTTCAACCAAGTTAAAATCAGAGTAAGAAACATTATCAGTAAAATTAGCAAATACAAGACCAAGTAAATTCTTGTTTTCTACGGTAGGGTTATACTGAGAAAGTCCAAAAATAATAAAAAGATAAATAATAAATATAATGAATAAATCGTAATTTATAACAAGGTGGTGCGTGGTGCGATAACAAGAGCGAATGTGCCCCCATGTCTTTAAAAGACTAAGAAACTGTGATGGAAAGCCAGGCCGTGAGTGGAAGAAACATGAAACTCATACAAACTACTGAACTAACTAACTAACTAACTAGATGGCTTACCGAACCCGAAGGTTCATCACCGAATTAACCAAAGCCCTCCACCGGACCCTGTCCTGGGCCAACAAAATCCAGTTTCCTTCAACTCCTATCCCCCATAGATCCCGCCTGAGATTATCCTCCCATCTACGTCTAGGTCTCCCCAGCGGTCTCTTCCCTTCAGGTTTCCCAACCAGTACCCGGTGCACACCTCTTGTCCCATCCATGCGCGCTACATGTCCCGCCCATCTCACTCTTCTCGACTTAATCACCCTCACAATACTGGGGGAGCAGTACAGATTTTTAAGCTCGTCATTGTGCAGTTTTCTCCACGCCCCATCGTCTTCCCTCTTAGGCCCAAATATCCTCCTCAACACCCGATTCTCAAACACCTGCAATCTGTGTTCCTCCCTCTGAGTGAGAGACCATGTTTCGCACCCATACAAAACAACAGGCAAGATTATTGTTTTGTATACTTTAATTTTCAGGTTCTTAGAAATCAGACGGGAAGACCAAATATTTTGGACTGAGAAGTAGCAAGCATTTCCGGCATTTAGTCTCCTCCTAACTTCCTCACAAGTATCATTTTGATTTGTTATTGTTGTTCCCAAATATTTGGACTTTGTAACCCTTTCAAAGGATTTATTAGCTACCCTAAGATAATTTTGCCCGCCTGTCTTCTGATGACGAGATACTAACATGTACTTAGTTTTTTCTGAATTTACTTCCAGCCCCACTTGTCTACCAGCCTCTAGTAAAACTTCTGCGTTCCTCTTTATTGTATTTATATCGTCCCCCAATAAATTAACATCATCAGCATATGCCAATAGCTGATGTGTCCCATTCAATTGCAAACCCTCCTGCCTACCTTGGACCTTCCTGATGGCGTATTCTAGTGCAAAGTTAAAGAGCAAGGGAGACAAAAGCATCTCCTTGTTTTAGACCGTTCTTGATGAGGAATGTCTCAGATACATATTTACCTACTCGAATTTTGCTACAGGTTGAAACATTGTACAATTGAATGTTTGAACCAAAGACCAACATATTAAAGTATATCATCCCAACCTATCAGATTCCTTCTTTAGAAACCAACATCCGCTCAACTAGTAAATAAATTTCCAACCTTTTTTGGGACACGAAATTTCATCTCAGCCTCCCACTGAACCCTCTCTAAAAGCCGCATGAACACATTTTGCGTATTCTCAACGCATGTATTATCTCAGGCATTTCAAGATTATAGTTTCTATAGCCTATTGAACACACGCATACACAGTGTTGATACTACCTCCAGCAGCCTTGTGCAAATACTTAAGAAAAATATTACGAATAGTTAACCAAGTCCTCCATGGTTTGATATCATGCCGACCTTCAAATTCGTTACATGCTTGTGAGTGAACACGCTGACAAATCAATTTGCAATCTTGCTTACAAAACGTGCTTCTTAATCACGCCTCGTGAAAAGGCTCAAATTATAAAAGTGAGAAATAATAATTAATACAAAAATCAAACAAGTCCTGAACTCGGTTGGGTGCGGAGAATATCCCTTGGGCAATGCAGCGTGAACGAAAAACGTTGCGAACAATTTAGAAATATTCTGTCCCTTCAACCTCCAGACAAAATTGGCCGCGGAAAACCGAAGTTATGTCAAATTCAGTATCGTCAAAGCGGTGCGCTGAAAAATACAATGGCTCCGCGATCAACGTAACAACAATCCTTCATTCATATCCTTATAAAGTTCACGTTGTAGGATTTGGGGTTCTCAGGGTGGTGAATCCGAAGATGGCTGTCTTCTGGGTTGTAACACCGTGTAGTCTGGTAGAAATTTACTGACGTCGAGAGGTCCTTACTGCCTTCAATTTCAGGGCTGTAGTTCACGTCTACTAGACTACACGGAGCAACAACCCAGAAGACAGCCATCTTCTTAAAATCCATGTTTGTAATCATATTCTCTTTGTTAAATGTGTATTCTCTAAAAAATAAACAACGAAAATGTATTTGAATGAATATTATGAATATGGTCAAAATAATCAAAGCTGTTTTAATTTAATTACAGTGTATGCCACGGTGGTCTAGCGGTCAGAACGCTGGCCTTGTAATCCTGGGGTCTCGGGTTCGATTCCCGGCGGTGCCCGAATTAATAACTTGTGTTGGGCAAGGTCGTGGTCTAGGCAACACGGAGTTTTCCTCCGGGGGCTTCCCCGGTTTCTCCGTGGCATCCCAACAATTACTCCATTCACACACAGAAGAAGGCAATGGCAAACCACTTCTGGATCATCTGCCAAGAACGTATATGAACAGGTCCCAGTCCGAGAAAAGGATGGAAGGATCCTGTTCATATGGACCTGTCGTCAGACAGAACACTAAATAATAATATAATAATAATGCTAGAGTGCTGAGTAAAACCATGCATGCTTCAAGAAACAGCAAATCTCTTTATTTGGTCTGAGTTAGGCGACTCGACACATATTCAGCGGTCCCAGGAACTTGTAACAAGATGCATTTCCTTTGCTGTACATTGGTTATCTCTCCAGAAGATTTCTTATCAATGAGAAGGTTTGGAAACTCTCCACTGCTTTGAAATCACAAGATAGCGCTCAAGCTCGCCTAACGACTATGCGCTTAGCATCTGGAAGTTAACCCACGTTTTCCCTCACGATTCTTATTTCGATGTAGCAACCTGCCTATTATACTATTGGCACGTGTTGGTTCTGTTCTACAGCTATCTCTACCTGGATATAAAACCATACTTCAGATTACACTGCATTACATAATATTATATTATTTAATTAAGCAAACATCAAGTAATTTTATTAATTTGTTGTACAATGGGAATTATTTTTTAATTTTCATAAGCTGCGTTCTGGAAACAACGCACTGAAACGAAAAACGTTTGCCAGTCAAAGTTCATAGTTCGATTCCCGAACCTTGAGATGAAGGGTAAACCAGGTTTTGACATGTTAATCTAGTTTATACAAACAAAAAGGTGTAATTAGATGATATTTGGTACGCCTTACTTCACCTAAATTCGATTGATTTATTAATTGTGGCCTGTTAGCATATTAAGTTGAAAGAATGTGGCGTCTCCTTCCTCGACATTACGTCTGGAGGGAGCCAGAAGTAAACAAAACACACTTAAGCCTAAAACCCTTTCCAGATGTCGGGTGACGACTGCATTACGACCATCGCTTCACTGCGACGGACCAACTGAATTTGAACGCAGTTTATAGGCGCGATCCCGCCGTTGTGGGGGAACGAATCAGGTCGCCGCACTTAAGCCAAATTCAATAACTGGTTACGTAATGCAGGGGTATTTAAGCGCGATCGTGGTTGCGGGGCTGCTCTGCACGCTCAAGTTTTATTCCTTCCACCGAGAAGACACGTTTTTATCAAACGCAACAGCCGAATCATCGAGCTGCCTAAGATAAGAGTAATTTGGAATATATTCGTTCTTTTTGTATCTTAAGAAACAATAAAGGTACGTTTCTCCGAAATATCACAGTGACATAAGAGGAGAGAATTCGCCCCATCTGTGCCAAATCCGCCTTCACCTTCTGCTCCACGTATATTCCCTGGGTGTCGGAGGCTCTTACTCGCCGACGACTCCGCACCAAAGTCAAAATTTCCCTCAATATCTCCAAACATAACCCACGTAAAAAAATCTGTAACAATAACAAACAGTGAGAAGAGTGTGACGTGTGGTAGAAACACCAAGGACGGTTACAAACTGTTGACTCATCCATGACCTACTGTGTGCATGCATTTCTATTAAACACAGGAAAACATTTGGTCCAACACATTAAATCCTTTTGACAAGGAAATATAAGATATTATTTTGATTTGTTTATGCTGATTTGTTGGAATTTTAATAAAATTGTTTTCCAGTAATACTTCAGACTTTTCCTGATAATCTTGACGGATATTTCTATAGTAAAAATCGTCGCTTTCACATTAATGGTCTATTTAATTTTCTTATTCGTGCTTTAGTTCAGACAGTAAAGTGAATGGTCATCGGCTAGACAGAATAGGAGAAGTATCTTTTCGTCACAAACTTCCAGACCGGCTCTGCGATCCATTGTGTATCAAAGAGGCACCGGGAACTATAGGTCCAGCGATAAATCGTACAAAGCGCGAAGCTCACAACTCGCCTGCTCACACAGCCTCAATCTTAAATGCGTGATTTACCTCTACGCCCCATATACACCTCCATATTGTTGTGCTTCGGCATGGTGACAAATTTATTCCCACATCAGCGCAAGTGTAAACTGTGGGGCGCATTCTTCTCAGTCCATGTCACTTAAAAAGCATTATTGCAGTACACCGACTTAAATAAAATAAATATAAGCACGTGGCTTTTTAAGTGAAACCAGCAAAACAAAACCCAACCCGCTTCTAATAGTTGGATTAATTTGTTTAAAAACAAGTTAAACGAGCAATTTTTGTGACTGAAGAAGATCATCTTGTTTAAAGGTCACAAATGACGTAATGGTTACACCCTCATGACTTAGCTCCACAGTTTGTGTCATGGGATTCCTCCGCGAGCATCCTACACAGATTTGGAAATAACTGTCAAAGAAATCATCGGAAAGGGCAATTATAATTCCCGAAAGGTTTGCGAAAACGACCTATTTATTATCGAATGATTATAATGCAGCAAAGACAGAAATTCGTCGATAAATTTAATCAAAAAACACGAAAAGAAGAGATAATTGAAGAGAATTAGGCTTAGAGTAAAGGATAATATTAAAATGGAACCTGAGAACATTGGGTGTGAGTATGTGAACTGAATTAAAGGATCTACTTAACACGAATGAACTTTCAGATTTCATAACATGCGGAGATTTTCTTGATCAGTTCAAAGACTAAAAGCTTCTTAGGAAGGAATATTTTCCATAAAGTTAAACGTTGTAGATACATCGTGTAGTCGCTGATAGTTAAGTAACACAACGCACTGTTTCTGGATTTACTCTAAAGTTCAAAACGCCCGTTAAAGTAACCGCAAGTAAATTGGGCATCCCTGGCAGTGTGCAGTGTTGAATTGGCCATTTCAATAATTTGACTGTATCCAGCATCTTTGAGTTTGTATATTTTGTAACGTTTCGTTATAATTCGAATGTTCTGGTAATTGTCTGCAAAGTGTTTCGAGAAACGCTGGACTAATGAAATTCAATACTTCGTATTGAAAAACACACGGGCCACTGCAAAGCATATAAGCGGGCGTCTTCACTGTGTTAACCGGTTGTAAATTGCTCTTAATGTCTTGGTTAGTTCGATTTGTGTATGGCAGATTTGTTAAGACAAGTTAAAGAAACGAAATCTATTGTATTTCTGGGATGCACAATACGACTAAAAGGCGTGAATCACGTGGTTGGCTGCATGCACATTTGTTCTGCATTCTGCAAGAAAATAAGAAATAAAATACGGGACAATTCAAAAGTCCCTGTGCATACAAAAGAGCTGGGTGACGCACGTGACTACACGGTCTTGACCCATTCCTCACTTTCAGCATTCGTAAAATTTTGTAACTTACCGTAAGTTCGCCATGACAAATATGAGTGTTCCTAAAGGTGAACACTAACTTCTGAATTATTCCGTATTTCTCAGCAGCGAAGGAGGGAGGAGTTATAATTTTTCCTACGTATATTTTTATGCAGAAGAGATGAAAATGTATTTAATAAAGTAAAGTAAAGCTGTCCCACTATACGCCATGTAGGCGCTTGGGGAGATTGGAGGTATAGCTCCTCTCTTCCTTGACCTCGGCACTAGATGGGGGTGAGTGGTCAGCATCACGCCCCGGCCGGCTTTATCCCCGGGAAAATGTATTTAATATCCTTACCAAAATGAATTCGGTTTAAAATACATTTAGCAAAACACATTTGCCCTAAAGAAAGCCTAAAAAACTTCCACAACACTCGATCGATGTAGAATTTGATGTAGTCGATATGATGTGTTAGGCAAATGGCAAAAATATGTAGTTACGCTTTTAACGATTAAGAATATATCTTTTGTATCTGTAACTAGTCTGATTTAAAACATTTTCACAGTACCCAGCGATAGGTATTTCGAAACACTGATATCAAGCAAATATTTCCCATCATGCAGAACGACACAGTACTCAATCAGTCGCAAGCCCAACATATCGGAAGGCCGCTGGTTGGGAACCCTTGAATTAATATCAATTTGATGAGAAGGTAAATCATATGAGGAGCCTACAGAACTGATGCCTTAGAGCAATCTTGAAGCCGAGGTCATGTCTGCAACTAACGTACATCCAGTCTCAAGTCCACGTCAATCTCACACGAAATCTGCGATAAGAAAACCAACCACATAAGATGAGATCGTTTCGAATTGGTGTTTGAGAGGAAGTTTCTGCCAAGGGGCGTGCCTCATATTACAAACACAGTTGAGGCAGACACAGTTAATGTTTTCTAGTCAGGCCTGGATAATTCTCAACCATGTAATTCACACAACCCAATTATACACGAGAATATAAAATACTGACAGTTAGGCAGGCACGTTGCACAAATATATAAAATGGCAATGCCTAGTTCAGAATTTAATTATGCTTGATAATGGTTAGCTCAGTCAGTATAGTGACTGGCTACGGATTAGGCGACCGGGGTTCGATCCCCGACGAGGGCAGAGGATTTTTTCCTCTAGCCTCTGCGTCCAGACCGGCTCTGGGGCCCACCCAGCCTCCTCTACAATGGGTACCGGGATCCTTTCCCGGGGGTAAAGCCGGCCGGGGCGTGATGCTGACCACTCACCCCCATCTAGTGCCGATGTCAAGGAAGAGAGGAGCTATACCTCCACTCCCCCCAAGCGCCTACATGGCGTATAGTGGGACAGCTTTTGCTTTTATGGTTCGCAAATAGAAATGTGTCAATTTGGGGTTAGAGATTATAAGTACGTATGCATGCGAATTACATTATAAAGATGTTGAAACAATGGGAGTGGGGATGAGAGGGCCGGAGAATGATCGAGATGAGAAATTCATATAAAATATTATGGGAAGATAAAACTAGAAGGACCCAGACGTAGATGGAAATACACTATAATACGGATGTTAAAAATTAGAATGGTAATTCCGTGACTCAGGTTAGGGACCAGTGAACATGAACTGAGTCTTCTACGAGGTCTCGCACTTATGGCCCCCCGTGAGCACGGTCATGAACCTTCGGATTCCATGAACGGAGTTACATCTCTTGACTAGCGGAGTGACATCTTAAGAAGGACTCTATCGAATTGTTGAAGTCACAACTAACTTGAAGCGCGCATAAGCAATGTGGTAAGAAATATTCTTGTTACAAATACTGAAGGGCTGTTGACTAGTGTGGGTGTTGTCGATTAAAGACAGTGACCATAAGAGATTCTGCCGTGTTGTGAGAACACACATCCCACAGCGATGCCGAACCATCAGTCCGTGACAAAAGGTGTTTTGATGTTGATCCCTGCCCTGCTCAGGTGTTCGCTACAAAAACTATAGCGTACATTAACAGAATGCTGATATTAATCTCTATTACATAGGAGCTGCTGGTAACTAAGCGCAAAAAAGTTTCGGACGAGTGCTTTTCACTTCATGATCCTCCCTCTGACGCGGTACAGTCACGTCAGCAAACAAAATCATATAAGATTGTGATCACAAATAAGATCCTACATAATGAAGGGTTTAAGACAATTTACCGTTAAGGATATTACGCAGGTGACTGATTACTGCATCGTACGTGAAGTTTTATTCCCAGATGGGAGTGATCAGTTATATACATCGGCCGCCTTTATTCCTGGAAAACCTAGATCAGCTAGATTAACACGAGAGTGAATGTATAAAAATTGAAAATCGAAAAAATTTAATTAATACATATTTATAAACGATCTTGAGCAGTACGATACTGACTGATATAGCAAAGAGAACAATATAGAAATATACGAGGTGCGATCGGAAAGTTTCTAGACTGCGCCTATAAACACCCGTACACTTATCTCAGGTATTAAATTCATCCATCACCCTCGAAGTAGTTCCCCTGGGAGTGAACACAACGATCCCAGCGCCGCTGCCAAGCCTGGAAGCATCCCTGGAAATCTTTCTTTGTCAGCCTGTCAAGCACCATCTGCGATTCTGCCTGAATCTCTTCTATCGCCTCAAATCTCCTTCCCTTTAGCTGAATGTTCATCTTTGGGAAG